TTGCCACATTGTTAGGAAGAATAGTATCATAGATTGCCACATTGTTAGAACAGACTGTTCTTGTACTGAGATAGTATTTAAGTAGAGGCCCAAAGACCATCTGCTATCTTAATACTTAACATATAAATATATGTACATAGACCTATATCCCTATCATTACTTATTAATATATTTACATATATACATGCCTATATTCATACGTCTATAAATAGCTTTGCCTCCTAATTCTTTCTTCTATTTCCTTTTACTTTCCTCCTGTGCCACTATCATGTTCGCACCTAACAATCTTAAATTTAAAAAAATTTGCATCGTACATCATTGTAAACTCCACATTTAAGAAAACGTCACCTGTGATTGACTCTACAGTTTCATATCTTGGTATTTTAATGAACTTATCCTGGCAAAATTAAAGTATTTCTTTAACTATTGTCATGCCTCTTGATATTAAATTTTAACTCTTGGGTGCTTTTCACATGTTTATAGCCTGTCTTGCACCTTAGTCCCACTTCCCCCCCTTTCCTCCACTTGTTCCTGTGTGTTTACTGCGCCTCTGCCTCGGTTCCTCTCTTAAAGTCTTAGAAACCGTGTGCTGAAGGTGGCAGAAGCATCAGCGGCCATGGTCTCGAAATAACTTTGCAGAGCAAAGCTCTAACAACCAGGAACCACCCTGAACTGACTAAATGGAAGAGTCTTCAAAATGCTCACGGAAAAATGGAATGAAAATAAATAAATAACAAAATATAAACTTTCTCAACATAAACTCCATTAAGTTCAAGGCAATTTTATAAGGGATGATCCCAACCATTTAGCCCATCCCTAAAGACCCGGGGGTCCTGGGAACTTCACCCGATCAATGCATCTTTATATATTACCTAAAGAAAAATGGTTAAAGGCTGGTTGAAGATTTGGAAACAAAAGGACGCCAGAAGGAACCAATCAGGAGCACTGGATGGTGAGTGCCTAATGATTTTTCATCCAAGGTCTTAAAAAGTTGCCTTTGCTTAATGGGAGGAAGGAGCAGGCATGCCATGATGGAGAAGACTTTGGTAAAACATTCCGGGGCATTTCTTCTGCTAAAGCTTTGGCGAGCTTTCTCAAAACACTCTCACAACAAGTCAGTGCTGTCATTCTCCGGGGAGAAAGACAGGGCTTTCTGCTTTCCTGAAAGCTATGTTCTTGGAAATTCACAGGAGCAGTTTACCCTGTTCCATAGGGTTCCTGTGAGCTGGCATGGTTTCCATGGCAGTGAGTTTGATGCTTCAGTTTTACCCTGCTCTGACTCTCCAGAAAGCCGACCAACAAAATGCCTCGGGCATTCTCTATCGTTCACTTTTGCTTTAACTGGACCACCTCCACCTCTTGGTAGCTGTTGCTTCACCTTCAGGGTCACATTGATAATTCCACATTTCACATCCTGCTACAAGTCTGAAAAAATGTCTCAGATTAGGTATCAGGCATCATCAGAACAAAGACTCGTATCATAGTGAATGAAGGGGGGAGTGCGGAGTGGAGACTCAAGGCCCATTTGTAGGCCGAGGGCATCTTACAGAACGGTGTCGGGGAGGAGACGAGCCAGTCAGGGTGCGACGTAGCAATGATGAAACATACAACTTTCCTCTAGTTTCTAAATGCTTCCTCCTCCCGCACTATCATAATCCCAATTCTACCTTACAAATCCGGCTAGACCAGAGGATATACACTGGTACACATAGGAACTGGAAACACAGGGAATCCAGGACAGATGAAACCCTCAGGATCAGTGGCGAGAGTGGGGATACCGGGAGGGTGGAGCGTGGGTGGACTAGAAAGGGGAACTGATTACAAGGATCTACATATAACCTCCTCTCTGGGGGATGGACAACAGAAAAGTAGGTGAAGGGAGACGTCAAACAGTGTAAGATATGACAAAATAATAATTTATAAATTATCAAGGGTTAATGAGGGAGAGGGGAGCGGGGAAGGAGGGGAAAAATGAGGAACTGATGCCAGGGGCTTAAGTGGAGAGCAAATGTTTTGAGAATGATGAGGGCAATGAATGTATAAATGTGCTTTACACAATGGATGGATGTATGGATTGTGATAAAAGTTGTATGAGCCCCTAATAAAATGTTTAAAAAATAAATAAAAGAAAGGGGGGGGGGAGAAAGAAAAAATGCCTCAGGATCTTGATTCTACTTATTTAAAATCTTCGTGGTAAGTTTCACTCTTGTCGGCAGCTGATCTGACACCCATGGGGCAGAAAATTTGTTCCACTTTAATTTTTCAGTCAGGATTGAGATGCTTATGGTATTGGCTATTGCTTCTGCTATATGTAGTCTGTCCTCTTTAGTTAGGGCATAAGCATGATTAATTGTTCCCTCAAAAATTGATATGGATGATCTACAACTTATAGCTTCATCTTCAAACCAACTCTTCCTTATTTCCATCTGTAAACCAACAATTCAATGGGGTTGTTTTCCCTATAAAGCATACATTATTTCACCATTCTTCCACCCAAGCTTCATCATGATTTTGATGTCTGTTCCATTTTAGCAGAATTCATGTTGGCATTTTCAAACAGATGCCGTACTCTTCTGGGCACCTCAAACAGTATCCTGTTCGTACATGCTCTGTCAGGTTAGATGTACTGAATTTTGGTGCAAAAAACCCCCAAACATAGCAAAACAAGGAAATCCATGAATTGTTTTTCCATAATCCACACTTTCCATGAATGTTTTGAAGACCCGTTGTATGAGAAAGAGATAAATATTTCATGTATTTGAAGCAATACACATTTTAGGGTCTTACAATACTTATTCTGTTTGGTGTACTAATGGCTTAAAAAATGTATTGGAAAAGGATGCAGTAACAAAAACCTAAACTACATGACCTTTGGTTGATGGTTAGGTAACAAAAAGTGAGGAAATGAATATCAGAAACTGGAGGCTATGTTAGACGGCAACAAGTCACTTAGTGACACTTCAATGATTCTATTTTGAATGCAGATCACCAGTCTTCCCGCCCAGAGTCTTCAGGGAAAGAGGCTAAATAATGGAATGTTAGTTGTATTTCTGTTGATACTCGTTCTGTGAATGAGAAGGTGGAAAAACTATATAGCCACCCTACACTTCCTGAGGCCATTGAATAAAAGGATAACCAACTTCAAAAATACAATGGGTGACAGAATGCATGCACAAACAATAGTAGCTTTTAACACTAGGCAGTATTCACTAATAAAATACAATGGGAAAGTGAGTACTTTCCCAATAACAACAAAACTATAAAATACCTGGAAAGAAAAGAATTGACAATATCATTCTAAATAAAAATATATTTTATTGTATTTTTGGTGAAAGTACACATAGCTAAATAGTTTCCCGTGTAACAATCTCTATTGGGTACCTTATTCAGATTGGTTAATGTTCTCATTATTTCCCTGGTAGTTGTTGCATTCTCGGGAACTTGACTCTCAATACCCATCCTCTTCTCCACGCTTGAGAGCAACTGTTGACCATTTGGTCCTAAGTGATTTGTAAAAACAAAGGGGCAGGAATCGCACAGACAAACCATGTGGGAACAAGAAGCGCTGATGGTGCCAGAAGAATGAAGAAGTCTGCTTGGGAGGAAGCACAGCCAGGGTGCTCCTTAGAAATGAGCCTGGCAGGAGTTGGTCTGGGTAACCCTGGGCATGTCATCAAGACTCAATCACTGGAGAAAGGCATCCTGGTCGACAAAGTAAAGAGTCAGCAAAATAGTGCAAAACCACGGGCTCAGGCCATTTCTGTCATTGGGATAATGCGGCAAGACCAAGGAACATTTTGATCTGTGGTGCGTGGTCACCATGATTCAGAGCCAATTCAATGGTACCTAACAACATGCTGATCGATCTTTGACTGGGACAGGCAGAGTGACTGATGGGGCCTCAGGCAAGGAATCCAGTAACTGCTGGAGGGTCTCCAGTGGGCCATAGAAATCAATTCCTATAAGAGAATAATGGATCCAGACGGGGTAATGCGTTCAACTATTGTTTCTTGAATGCCAAATAGGTCTTTGAAATCCACCTCAAATTTGGCCTCTTGTTGATGTCCCAACATGACAAACTTATGATTCTGTAAAAACAAAGACAAAACAACAACAAAAAGCAGAATGGTCATCGCCAAGTAGCTTAGACTGCCCCATTCCAGATCATCTGAAGCCTTGGTTTAGACCAGCGGTTGTCAACCTGTGGGTTGCGACCCCTTTGGGGGTCAGACAACCCTTTCACAAGGGTAGCTTGATTCATAACAGTAGCAAAATTATAGTTATGAAATAGCAACAAAAATAATTTGATGGTTGGGGGTGTCACCACAACATGAGGAACTGTATTAAAAGGTCATGGCATTAGGAAGGTTGAGAACCACTGTTTTAGACAATTCTAAATGGAGCCCAGAGGATGCAGCTAATTGCATGGTTGGAGGTTCAAACCCAGTAGCTGCTCTGAGGGTGTCTCTTCCTATAAAGATCGAAACCTAAGGAGCAGCTTTGGTTTGGGGGTAAATGTTAATGAGAGTGAATCCAGCTGAAAGCAGCTTCTGCTCTCTGATAGCTTGATGATTTCTTTTCATCTGGAAGTTCGAGAAGCAATTTATTGCCATTAATTCTTAAAGAAACATTAAATTCTTGATTTAATTCTTAAATATTCTGGTATTTGATTAGAAAATATGACACATGTTCTTTGAAATACTATGTTAGTACAGAAGTGTCTGAAGCAAATTATTGGTGTCTCCTTTTAAAATTTTGATTAAAAAATCTAGTTTTATTGACATGTAATTCACATTTCATACAATCTTATGGTTTAAATATGTTAAAAGAGTTGCACAATCAATTTTTGAAACTTTTTCTGTCTTGTACTCATTATTATTTCTACCCCATTTCCTCACAACCTCCCCTACCATAACTCTAAGAAATTATTAATCTAGTTACAGTTTCTATAGATTTACCTATCCTAGATTTCATTTAAAGAAAGTCATTCAAAACACAATAACGGGAACTCTTGATCCAAAAAGCAGAAAATAGTGAAAACTAGAACAAATTTAAAATGGGTCAAAGTTAAAACAGATGAGATGGTGTTAACTTTATCTTAACTACATCTGCATTAATCCACTGTCCAATGCACTCTGTCTCACAGCCTCGCTGTTCACATGCCTGCTCAATAGTCAGAGAGCATTTGATGGAGACTTAATCCACTTGGGGACTCCGCAAATGGATTTTGGGCATTCACTGTCATCCATACCAAAACCAAACCAAACTCACTGCCATTGAATTAATTTCAACTCACTGAGACCTATAGGGCTGGGTAGAACTGCCCCTGTGGGTTTCTGAGACCATAACTCTTTATGGGAATAGAAAGCCTAATTTTTCTCTCTTTGATTGGCTGGTGATTTCAAACTGCTGCCCTTGTGGTTAGCTGCCCAACACATAACCACTACTCCACCAGGGCTCCTGTCATCCGTAGCCTTCGGCAAACCAAGGGCTTAGAATTTAAGCTCTAATGCAATTCTCTCCTCCAATTTTGGATTTTATTATTTAGAATCCTGGATCGCACTGGCTCGTGTGCTTCTTAGTTGGCTGCTTGTTTTAAGACAAGACCTTAAGGGCATATCCTTTGTCCTGCACTCCCACCTCGTCAGTGAATTCTTGTTAACTTTGTTATACAGCACTAGGAAAGTCAGATATAAATGCTTTTGAAATGAGAGAAATTTAATTTGGTATCTTTACAGGAGCCCCTGGTGGCATAGTGGTTACGAGTTGGGCTGCGATCTGCATGGTCGGCAGTTTGAAACCACCAGCAGCTCTGAGGGTCTTGGGGGGAAAGACTGGGCTTTCTACTGCTGTCAAAAGTTACTGTCTCGAAGCCCCGTAGGGGGTGGCTATGAGTCAGTGTTGATTTGATGGCAAAGAGTTTGCTTTTTTGGGGGTTTATCTTCTTTTAGAGAAAAGAAGTACTTTAAAGGGCTCTCTTACTTCCTACGCACTAGGCTTGCCATCGATTATCTGGTGTACTGGGTTAACCATTATGCTGCTAACCACAGACTGGCGGTTCGAGCCACCCTATGGAAGAACGATGAGGTTGGCTGCTCCGTCAAGAGTTCCAGCCTGGGAGTCCTATGGAACAATTCTACCCTGTGCAGTAGGGGTGCTGTACGTCGGGATTGACTCCATGGCAGGGCTCTGGCTGCCCTGGTTTTCTTCTCCACGGGAGGAAATAGACTATCTAGAAGTGAGCAACGTCTCTGAGCTCCTAGAGAAATGGCTGCAACAGTGACTTCTGGTTTACTGCTGTTTTTCCCTCCACGGATTGGAAGGCTTTTAGAAGACACCTCGAAGCTCCACTTGTGTGAACCTGCCTCATGGCGAGGAAAATTGGGTAATTTTCCCTCTACAAGTAGATGAGAGGTAACGCGGCTTACCTGAAAGAGACAGACCGAGAAGCAGGGGAAGGTGTTTACCTTGTAGTATGTGCTGTGGTTCTGAAAGATGAGGCGCACGTCTTGCACAAACTCCCCCACTTTGTGGTAATTCTTCTTCTTCAGCTTCATCTTGATTTTGTTCAACCACATGGGCTTCTTTGGGGCGCAGGGACTCTGTGTACTCTGCTGATGAAAACATCAAAGGGTGGGCTAATGGCCTACTTCATCGTCTACCTCCTATGAATTACCGCCTCTAAATTCTCCGCCTATAAGAAGGCAAACACACGAGCAGCTTCTGTCCAGGGATTCAGAGGACAAATGCCACAAATATCAGTTTCAGGGTTTCAGGTTGCTACTTACATAGCGCGGCTTTTTGGCGAAAAAGAGGCTCTTGGAGGAACAATAGATCTTCAGGAGGAGGAACTCACATTTCTGCGAAGGAGGAAAAAGCAGTCCGTGAAAAGCAGCGTGGAGAAAAGGAGACCATCCCCGTGACCTGACGGAACCTGTGGCACAAAGTCTCCCAGAAGGTGGAAACACACAGGTCACGGGGAGGGGCGTTGGGGTGAGGGACCATTTTCTAGCCTTCGGCAAGGTCTTGCTGCTCCTCTTGGGTACAGAGAAACGAGGAGAGCTCAGGTGTGCCTCCGGACTCACCAGCTGTTCCTCAGGCTGCATCCACTTGCTCAGGATCTCAGATTCCTGATGGCATGGCTGGCTTTCTTGGCAATCCTCTTGGATAGCCTTTATTTTGCAGAAGATGCAACTCCATGGGTTCCTGAGAGGTCAGGCACAACATGAGCAGAAGGAAGGTTTTCTGTGATGTAGCCACCATTCATTTAGTGGCCAATGTCACCTTTCCAACAGTGGTTGAGGGGTTTCATCTTGTAGCCAATTCCTTTCTTGGCACCAGAACTCTATGTGGGCTCAAGACCTCCTTTCCCATCAAATGTAGTAGCAGGCATGTTAGTCTATTGAGTGAGGGGCCGTGATAAATGGTGAAGGCTCATTTGTCTTAAAGTCTGATGAGTTCTCAGCATTGGGTGGCCCACATGGGGCCACCCCTGGAGGCAGGCACAGACTCCTAGCAAGCAGGAAGGCAAAGAAAGAGGCAGAGAGGAGAGAGCGCGCGCCCCAGTGTCTCATAAAAAGGCCACACCTCCTAAGAGGCATCATCAGGATATGACTTGATTGACAGGTTGGGCTCCACCACTACCCATGTGCAAGTTGACCTAAAATCTAATTGCCACAGACCACCCCTGTCAACTCGACACCTGCACACAACTCTAACCGTACACAGTCTTTAAACAAAGACAATGATGAAATCGTGTTTATTCCTAACAGTATCGAATGAAAACTTGTATAGCTGAAGATGCACCAGTCCCGTTTAAATCTAATATTGTGTAAATGAACAAAACAAAAGTTTTGTGCCTAGCAGTTGCAGTTTTGTGACCCCTATATCTTTATCCCACAGTCCTACCAACATCTTCCTCCACATCTCCCTCCTTCCTTCCAGGTTTGTAAGCCAGCCACTTTCTTCCCTTTACCTCTTCCCCTTTCGGGTGTCCACTTTGGAAACTTTCCACTTCTACCCATTCAGTGTTTTGAGGAGACAGGCATGGTTCTTTGAGGGGAAGAGTCTTCATTCCAGTTGGAACCTTGCGCTTGCATTCAGCAGCCAAGTCCATGTCTAGAGCAGGCCATCCCTCATGGCAGAAGACAATGCACCAGGTGACAGGGTTAAACAGCTGTTTCCTCACATGGTCGAGTCCTGGTCAACTCAGGTGTAGTCATTTGAAACGAGGTCCACGGGGGCCATCGCAGACTATGGAGTTCCCTACGTCACTCCCCCTGCTTCAGACCACTGGCCCCTTCACAAATGCTCAATAACCTAGCCTCCTTGGGTTAGATCATACTATAGGCTCATGTTCAGTGCAACTTCTTTCAACGTCAGGCTGGCCAACCTACTCGCATCTCTCTTGGTTTACACCCTGTAAACCAAGTCCACGAGTGTCAGTGGCCAGACTCAATCGGTCTCTCCATTGCTGCTTTCCTCCACTTCCACGCAACAAGTAGTGACCAGGGGGTCACCCAGTGCGCATTTCCAGTTGCCCACAGGACCCCTCTAGTTTTCAGTCCCAGAGGAGAACTCACGGGCACAGGTTTTTCTCAAGCTTAGGTCCATCCGGTCAAACTGATCACCCAAGATTTAAAAAGCCGAAGTCACTCCCCCTGTTCAGTCTTCTAACAGTTCTGGTTGCATGTAGTTTCAAAAACGAATGTACTGGAATTCAAGGCACTGGGTAGGATTTACCTTTACTAAGCCCTATACTTTGGTTTCAAACAAAAATCCATTTCCTCTAGGCAACTCCTAATGCCCCTTTAACAGATCCGATTGTAAAGGCTGAAGGCAGGCAGTCTTACAAGCTCTCTCTAATAATTAATTTCCAATATTCATTTCTAATCACACATTATGTTCATAACAGTAGGTAGGAGAAATCAATATAATTGTAGTACAGCCAGATTCTAAACACAATTAATTAAAAAAATACTCAATTTCAGTCCTTTCTTATCCAGGTTATCTCATTTATATGCAGTCTGGCCTTAGGCCCCTGGTAGCATCAAACTAGGGCCTGGTCTTCTATCAACCTTCTGTGTCTGAACAGCATGACTGTTCCCTGGGAGCAGCCCCCAAAGTGGTGTCTCTTCCCTGAGTTTCAGTTTAACATCCATTACAAGCCTTTTCACCATTTCAGGTAGGAATAACCGAATACAACTTCCAAGAAAATCAACATTTTCACTTCCCGTGTCTTTTCCAGAGACCAACTGAGTAAATCACTTGCTATATCTGAAATCTTCTGGCCACTCAAAGGAAAAAATCCAACTCCATCATAATGCAGAAGGCAGGCCAGCCTACACTCTCTGTTTTCATGATTTGTTCTCTAAAACCACCCCATTCCCATGGTACCGAATTTTGATAGGCTGGGTGGTCTAGAGAAATAAAACCAGTGACACTCATCTATGTATAGGGAAGAGCTTTATATGGAGAAGTACTCTTGTATTGAGAAGGCATCCTAACCCAGTTCAATCTAAGTCCATGGGTCTGATGTTAGCTGGGACCCTCTTCCAATTTACATAGCTGCAGGCTGTCGACGTAGAAAGGTGAAGCAAGAGGCAGGAAGCGCACAGGCTGGCGGGTGCAGAGCCATGTGATCAAAGTCAGTGGGAACATGGCAGGGTACCAACGGCTTTCAGGGTTGAGTGGCCCACATGGGGCTACTTCCGGAGGCAGGCATGGACTCCCAGCAAGCAGGAAGGCAAAGGGTCAGAGAGAGGGGGGAAGGATCCCGAGCGTCTCTCTTATAAAAAAGGCCACACTTCCCAGGAGACATCATCAGGCTGTGACTTGATTGACAGGTTGGACTCCAGCCTTATACTAGTGTGAGCTGACATAAAACCGAACTGCCGCAGAGGCGGTTCAACAAAAAGTCAATCTGTCTTCTACCAAAAACCCCAAACTCAATGCCATCGAGTCCATGTTGACTCATGGCGACCCTCTGAGGGTTTCTGAGACTGTAACTGTTTACAGGAGTAGAAAGCCTAGTCTTTCTCCCATGGAGCTGCTGCTGGTTTCGAACTGCTGACCATGTGGATTGTAGCCCAATGCATAACCACTACACCACCAGATGGTCCAAATGGCCCAAAGCAGAGTTATGGAAAACCCTTGATAAGGCATTATTTTCTGTGAATCTCCAGGTGTAGGTAGATTACATGAGACCCCGATTCTTTTGGCAACACACAGTCCTTGTGGGAATGAAAGACTCCTAGTACTGATTGTCCTCCTCAGCCACAGGCTCCAACGTCCCACCCCTTACACGATGCTTTCTCAACCACTAAGGTACCCTCTGCACCTTCACCTCTGACCAATGATCTATTTTACAGCAAAAGAAGTTCAGGAGTGGGCTCACACCCACAAAAATTCACAAATCTGATCCTGTATTCTTGACCCAGACTCAGTTGGTTTGATATGGCTTCCTGAAGGCTCATCACAGAGATCTGTCAGCTTTGAGATGCTCTCAGGAGATGGCATTTGCTTTAAACCAGCCACCACCGAATGAGGTCATTCTCCCACAAGAAGACCAGGGTCTGGGCACCAAGTTAGGGCAGTGAAGGTGACGGCTCTTACAATGCTATCAAGTTTCCTTTGGTACAGTCTTTGCCGCCAGCGTCATTACTATTTCTGGATTACACTTGTGGAGCTTGATACTTGAGTCCTGTTCCCTTGAGCTCAAGCCGTGCAACTAGAGACAGAACCTCTGTAGTGTGAGCACGCATGGTGGAAGGAGGGTGATTCCTAAGAAGGAGATGAGAGAGGGCGGAGGCTGTGTCTCACTCACCTCCCAGTTTCCACAGGATGGATGTGACAGGTCTTGTGAAAGGATTTTGGACATGTGTCACAGCAGAACAGCCCTCCTCCATCATGGCACACCTCACACTCATTCGAATTTTCTCGCTAGAAAGGGAGAGAATATAGATATCACTTAGCTCAGTGAGACCCCAGAAGGTCTATAGGATGAAACTCTGAAATGTGTGCCTTAGTGTGGACCAAGGGAGACCCTTAGAAATGTATCTCCCTGAAAGAACAGATAACAACCGAAGAAGACATTCTGGTATCCAACAAAAGTCAGGACGAGGAACTGTGTGTCCAGCCAGAAAAAGTTCTTTATGAAAATAGAGACCGTAACTCAGGAAAGCTAGCTATAAAACAGGAGGAAGGTTTATGGATCATCTGAGATGTTTATTCTTTCTTTGCCTGACAAAAATCGGGCTCTCAGGTAGAGTGTCTTACCTAGGTGTCTACAATTTAGTGTCTCAATTGATCTGAGGATATGTGATTTCACTGAGCGTTTCATGAGCTGATGCAAGTGTCTGATCTATCATTACATTTCATTTTCTTGGCCAGAACCTCCCTTAGAGTTGAAGAAAGAGCCTGGGAAGGAGTTCCTAAGCTGCAGGGTCCCTGGACCTGCAGGACTGCCTTTTGGGTAGAAGAACCCTGGGTACCAACGAGCAGAGGTCCTTGGCTCTGAGAGTCCGCAGGAGATGTGAAGGCACCAAGATCTATCTCTGGGTGGTCAAGGAGTATAGTAACAGTAGCTGAAGACCACCAGGCTGGTTCTAACTTTTCCACTTCATGGGCAGGCTCCTACTTTTATGAGAAATCTGGTGCAGCATTCCTGCTGCTATGGGGCTGCAGAGTTCACAGTGACTAACATCTTCTTAGTAGCCATAGCAACATCGCCTGGTGTTTGGGTTCAAACACCGTGTTGCCCCTGGGCCCAATGAGCAGAGGCAAATTGGGACACACCTCAATTTATAAATTCTCGTTTTCTGTAACTCTAACACAAGAAGAAAAGAAACAACAGGTAGACATAGGAGAACATTCTAGGCTGCAAGGTGTAGCCTGGCTGGGTGATCCCTCTGGACAGGAAAACTCGCGGAGTGGTCTGTATGGAGATCCCAAGGTTGTCCTGGTACAGACAGACTCATGCAACCAGTTTTCATTTTCCACATAACTGAAAAGACTCAGCGATGCTGGCCATTCTTCCTCGCTTGCATTCTATACAGACTGCAAACGGGACTTGAGAAGAACAAATACTGAAGCATATAAGGAAGAATACAACCCCATGTTCAGAGCTCCCTTGTTTAAGTAATTCTGAAAACTTGGTGAGTGTCTCCCTAATCTTTTTAAGGAGAAATCTGTCCTTTTGCTTAGTAGCAGCTTTTCACCTTTGCACAGTACAATCACTTAGGGAGGCTTTAAAATATTCAGATGCCTGGGATCCCATCACCAGAATCTTTATTTAATTCGGGTAGTTTGGGGCATACACCAAACAAACTCATTTCTGTTGAGTCAATTCCAACTCATGGAAGCCCCACGTATTATAGAGTAGAACTACTCAATGGGGTTTTCTTAGCTGTGATCTTTATGCAAGCGGATCGCTAGGCCTTGTTTCAGAAGCACTGGCAGGTAGATTCAAACAGCCAACCTTTAGGCCAGTGGTTGAGTGCAACTGCTAACCCTTAGTGCCACCCAGGGGTCCTGGGTTGGGACCTAGCATTTGTAGATGGTGCCTGGCTACTAGAAAGAATAGCACCTGGGGTCTTACAAAGCTTGTCTTAAAACAAGCAGCCAACTAAGTTAGGCAACAGTTAAGCCCACACAGCTGTGTAATGCAAGAATGGTAAATAATACAATTCAAGATCAGAGGAGGAAAATGTAGGAGAGCTTACATTCTGAGCGCTAGTTTTCAGAAAACGATGGATGGCTATGAAAGCCCCCCATGCATTTGCCCAGACCCCATAGGAAATAAGTCTCCATGGAATACCCATGGATCAGGGACCTGAAATGGGAAAACCCTGTCCACAGAGAGAGTACATGAGAAAGTAAACTATTGCAGACACAGTTCGGTTAAAATTTAACATCATATCATTTATTTCCCTTTTTAACCCATTCTTAATTTTTTATTTTTAAAGTATTCCCTACTTTCTTTTGAAATGAAAAAAAAAAATGTCTCCAATGTCCGTGAACAATTGTATAGACATGTTAAATGAAAACCTAAGCAGCTGTGTAAACCTTCACTGAAAAGACAACATTTTATTTTTAAAAGTTCCAGATGATGCTAATGTACAGTCACAAGTTGTGGTCTCTGGTTAAAAGTCCAAGGCAGTGGGTCTCAAAAGTGTCTTAGGCCAGTGGCAGCAGCATCTCCAGGAATTTGTTAATGAAGATTCCTGCACCCTATCGCATGCTTGCTGAAGCAGACGCCCAAGGTTTGGTGTCCAGTCACGGCTGGTACAACAAATGATTCAAATGCTGGGATAGAGCGATTTATAGTGTTGGTAGCACTGGTCTACCCAAAGCCAAGCCAATCTTCACTCTGAGTGACTCTATAGGACAGTGGATGCTGCTCCACATGGTTTCCAATGCGGTTCAACCTGTGATCAGGAAAGACCAGTCCCTGAAGGAGGACATCATACTTGGTAAAGTAGAAGGGCGGCAACAAAAGAGGAAGGTCCTGGAGGAGATGGATGGACACAGGGGCTGCAACAATGGGCTCAAACATAACAACAATGGCCCAGGGCCAGGCAGCGTTTCTTTATGAGTCAGAGCTGACTGGCTGACACCTAACTACAACCACAACAAATCTTAATGGAGACAGATGACCACCCCTCTCTCCTGAGGAGTGGCTGGTGGGTTTGCCCTTCCGAGATTTGGGTTGTCAGGTGAGCCCTTTAACCACTGTGCCACCAAGCCTCCTTCACTTGTCTACCGTGTTTCACAACATAGTTGTGTCACCCAGGGGGCTCTGGGAAGCCTTGATACTTAGAGCCAGGAAATCAGAACCTGTTGGGGCTGGGACCCGTGGAAGAGACGCCCAAGTCAGAACCATCCATCTACCTGGTGTGAGGAACACTCTTTGATTAAGGAGAAGGGTGCTTTGGGAGAAAGCAGTCAAGTCACAGATAATGGACCTACGGTGACTTCTGTGTGACTCAGGGTTAAGGTTGCAGTTGGCACTTACATAGAAGCTGGCAAAGTTCTTGTTGGCACACTCCAGTCTTCTCTGTTGACAAGCAAGAAAGATTGGGTGACATTAGTGAAGGTGATTTTCCCATCGACTACTGATTTGAGAAGGTTTCTTTATTCAAGGCACTCACGGCATGCACTTCTTTATTTCACATCTGTGTTGAGGGTCTAGGCATCTGTCTGGAGATTAACAGGCACCCAAAGATGTGCCTGTTTGGGGGAGCTAGAAGGACTCTCCCCCAAAGAGAGTTTTCCCAGACCAGCAGCCCCTTTCCCTCTCCCCATCGCTCCGTTCCCAAAGGC